CTCGCAGTTTGTTGCAGACCACCAATGTGGTGATGGCCTGCCTCTGTGCGCCCGTCGCGGAGTCTACATCACCGATGAGACTCCTCAGGCGCTCGATGATCTGGGTGTCCGTATTCTTGACCTTCTTGGGCTTGGGTTTCTTCGGCTTCGCCGTGTCGGGCCCGAGCTAGGCTGAAGCGGGGGATTCCTGCTTCAAGCCTATGCGCTGCTGGAACGCCGCGACCGCCCTCGCCAACCCCTGGAGAACAGTCGCCTGGTCCGATTTGCGTGCCGTTCTCTTCGGGCCTCCCTTGCCGCCACCCCCGAAGAGGGGATCGCTGGACGGCCCGACCGTCGTATCTGAAAAAGGGCCCACACCTGCGCCATTCGCACAAGTGGCAATACCCATAATATGGAGCTTCTCAACATACTCATCCCTCGTCGCGAGCCGTCGCGAGGCCAAGCACTCTTGCTCAGGAACAATACACAAATGCAAAACGTGGTGTACATGATCACGAATATCAAAAGCGTGGTGTACATGATCACGAAGATCAAAAACCCGCCCACGATCCCAACTCCACCAGGCCCCAGGGGAGTGGTCCGCGTCGCAGGGCGTCATGACAGGTAGCCGTCCACCACTGCCATGTCGTAGTTTGTGACCTCGTCACCACCCTCGCAGCACATGATGGGGACGCGGTGTGTCCAGCACCTCCACCATTTTCGCCACAGCGCCATCCGGAAAAGGGTCGCCGTGCCCGCCAACACCATGACCTTGCCGAAGCTGTCTGGGGGCTGCTGCTCGTTGGCGCGGCGCTGCCGGCCAGAGCGCTCTGGCCGTACCCTGGCAAGCCCTGCCGGCGGCAGGGCCTGCCAAGGTACGGCCTCCCCGGCCCAGGAAGGAAAACCGCAGGCGCTGCCGGGGCACGCGGGGAGGGCGCGCCGTACCCCAGCATGTTATATATGTTGTTGCCCTCCGGTGGAAACGTTTGGTTTCCTTTGATTAATTACGCAGTGAACTCTGACACGCACCCACACACATGTATGTATGTATGTATGTATGTATGTATGTATGTATGTATGTATGTATGTATGTATGTATGTATGTATGTATGTATGTATGTATGTGTGCATATTTATTTCTATATATATATACATATATTTATGCATTTTTATATATATATATATATATATACATATATAACACACGACAAGACTGCAGTGGCGTTTCGCGCCATGCACCTTGGTCCTTGAAGTTTGGCATGCTGGCGGAATGCCAGGAATGTCAAGCCGACACATTAACGATAACTCCTTGTTGCCTTTCCAGCATCGCCGCTAAAATGATGTTATTCGTTATCCTTCCTCCATGCTTCTTCTTCCTCGTTTTCGCCATACCTTGCGCATTTCCCCCCTCCTCCTTAGCTCTTTTTGCTGAGGCTCCTCCTTGGAGAGCCTCTGGGGACCTCACGCAAGTTTCAGGCTTTCTCAAGGCTTTCTGGAGGCCTCCTGGGCGTGTTCTGGAGGTTCTGGGGGCTTCCTCGGGCCACCCTGCCTCCAACAGCGGTCTCCCTGAACGACTGGGTCACGATTTGGAATGCTTCGGAGGTTGTCCTGGGGCCGTCTTGGGCCGCCATGGGGCTCTCTTAGGGCCATCTTTGACCCCTGTTGTGCCGTTTTGGGCCCCTCTTGGACTGCCTGGAAGCCCTTTTCGGATGATTGTGGGGCGATTTTGGAGCCTCCCAGGCGGCTTTGAACGCCCAGAAGACTGCCGTATTGGAGCGTCGGGAAGCGGAAAAGAGGAGAACCCCACAATTCACCAAAAACCCGTAAAAAATCAATGATGTGTGCCTCTTGGGGCTTTCTTGGGAGTGCTCTTGGAGGCTTTTTGAAGCCTTTGGGGCCGTCCTGGAGGCCTCTTGGGCCATCTTGAGGTCACGTCGGTCACTCTTGGAGCGCTTTTGTGCTGTCTTGGGGGCTTCTGGGACTTCTCCGATGACCCCCCTGATCGCCCTAGGCGTGCTGGGAAAGCTTGGCAAAACGCCCTGCGAGGCCCGGGGGGGCGCTTCGAAGCCCGTCCGGAGGGTCCCAACGCCCCAGATCTCGGGAGTACGCTTTTGTGTCTGTGTCTGTGTGTGTGTGTGTGTGGTTTCCCCCCCGCCTGGGCTTATACCAATATAGGAAGGGGGAATATATATAAATATATATATATATATATATATATATATATACACGTAGCACCCCGCAATTGCGGATAAGAGTGAGGGGGCGGGCGCGGGCGACGCGGGCGTCGTCGAGCCGGCGGACCTCGTGGCCCCACCTTCCCTGTCGATGGCGCTCCTCCTCCTCCTCCTCCTCCTCCTCTCTTCCTCGTCCTCGTCCTCATCGTCATCGTCATCCTCCTCCTCCACCTCGTCCTCCTCCTCTTCTTCCTCGTCCTCCCTCTCCCCCCCTCGTCCTTTCATCATCGTCCTCCCATTGTCGTCCTCCCCCTCATCGGCCTCCATCATCGTCCTCCCATTGTCGTCCATCATCATCATCATCATCATCATCATCATCATCATCATCATCATCATCATCATCATCATCATCATCATCATCATCATCATCATTATCCCCCTCCTCCCCCTCGTCGTCCTGCTCCTCCTCCTTTTCTTTCTCCACATTCTCCTTACATCCTCTCTTATTCCGCGTTCTCCTCGTCCCCTGTTTACTCCTCCTGCCTCCCCCTCCTTCCCCAAGATAACTGCAACGCAATCCTTTTTTCCACTTTATGCTCCCCGCCTTCTCTGATCAAGGCAACTCGCCAGGGCAGAGTTGCTGGACGGGCTGGTGTGGATGCGCGGGGCTTGAAGAGGTCCTTGCGGGCTCAGACGGCATGCAAAAATCCGCCGCCGCGCTTGTGCAGCATTGGTTTGTTCAGTGAACGTGGTTTAGGTCGCGGGTGGGTCGCGGGCTCTCCACCTCCACCTGGAAGGAATGCAAAAGCAGCCCGCCGCAGGCGCCAAAAAATTGGTTTGTACACTGAACGTGGTTTGGGTCGCGGGTGGGCCGCGGGTTCTCCACCGGGAACGAATGCAAAAGATGCCCGCCGCAGGCGCCGAACAATGTGGTTTGTACCCTGAACGTGGTCGCGGGTGGGCCGCGGGCTCTCCACCTGAAACGAATGCAAAGGATGCCCGCCGCAGGCGCCGACAAATGTGGTTTGTACCCTGAACGTGGTTTGCGTCGCGGGTTGGTCGCGAGTTGGTCACGGGGTGGGTCGCGGGCTCTCCACCTGGAAGGAATGCAAAAAAAAGCCCGCCGCAGGCGCCGAAAATGGTGGTTTGTACCTTGAACGTGGTTTGCGTCGCGGGAGGGTCGCGGGTGGGTCGCGGCGTAGGTCGCGGGTGGGTCGCGGGTGGGTTGCGGGTGGGTCGCGGGTGGGTCGCGGGTGGGCCGCGGGGTGGGCCGCGGGGTGGGTCGCGGGTTGGGTCGCGGGGTGGGTCGCGGGGTGGGTCGCGGGGTGGGTCGCGGGTGGGTCGCGGGTGGGTCGCGGGGTGGGTCGCGGGGTGGGTCGCGGGGTGGGTGGCGGGTGGGTTGCGGGGCGGGTTGCGGGTGGGACGACGACAACAAACAACAACAACAACAACAAAAACAAGCACAACAACAACACAACAACAGCAACAACAACACCAACAACAACAAAAACCAACACAACAACAACAACAACAACAACAACAACAACAACAACAACAATTACTAGCACGTGGGGACACTCCGTTCTCACCAGTGCCAGGGTTTTCATAGGAGGCGGGCAATACCCCCACTTTGTGGGGGGGCCGGTTCAAGCTCTACCAAATTTCCAAACGACTCTTCGCCACCACCCACACCCAGCTTCCCGCCCTATGACGTTCGGACACTTCACTTCGTGGCATGCGGACGACCGTGGCTACTATTCAGGGCCCCGCGGCCGACGACGACGGCGTGCGCGCGCGAAGAAAAAACGAATGTGTCCCGCATGGTATTATTTGACAGGGATGATGGCCCTGGCAGGTGCGCAACCGTTGTCGCAGAAGTTCGAAAAAGTTGCTCGCAAAAGCCCGTTTGACAGAAATGATTAAAAAGTGTTGGGTTTCCTACGAATCCGCAAGAGCGCGCGGGATGACATTTTGACAATTTTTTTTGAAAAACCATTGGTTTTTTGATGTTTTTATGTTAAAATCGCTACGAAAACTAAGGTTTTGGAAGGATTTCGTCTTGCGCGCGCGAATGTCCACTTTACCTTATTTTTTGCAAGGGATTCTTGAAATTTGATTATATTAGAACAAGAAATGTCATTTTATAGTGTTTTTTGCAAGGGAAACGGATTACAACAAAACAACCGGATCTGGACCCCATCCACTTTTCTGAAGCTTTCGCGAAAAAATGATGAAAATGTAGCTGCGGCCTAGGCGCGGCGGGGGGGCCGTGCACCAGGGGTCCCAACAATAATTATTCTTTAGAATTAATAATGTTCAACAACAACAACAACAGCAGCAGCAGCAGCAGCAGCAGCAGCAGCAGCAGCAGCAGCAACAACAACAACAACAACAACAACAACAACAACAACAACAACAACACCACCAACACCAACAACAACAACAACAACGAGAATCCGCACCGCGGAATTCCACTTCAGCCACGCACCCAGGGACAGTGAATGACCGTTCGGCCCCCTCACTCTGATATATATATATATATATATGTAGAGAGAGAAAGAGAGAGAGAGAGAGAGAAAGAGAGAGGCTGAGGGAGAAAGCGAGAGAGGGAGAGAAAGAGAGAGAGAGAGAGCGGCGAAGAGAGAAGAGATGGGAGATACGACAAACGCTTGCATATACATCCCTGACGGCTCAATCAGCCGTTTACATAAACCGCATAATGGACGCTACCACCAAACGAGTTCCCCTCGTTTGCAACATGTTCCACACTGCACGGCCGATCTGTGTCTTCGAAATCTCCACATCTCTCCCCTTCGCATATCTCGCAACTCTGCAGGCCCTGGTGTCCAGCTGGATTCTGGCGGCGGCGGCGCTGCCACTGCCGCGGCGGCGCACATTGGCAACTCCACTTCGCCTGGGAGACAGGGGACGGCCCCATCATGCTGTAGCGCGCGGACCAAACGGATGCTCCACCTCTTCCCAACCTGGCCGTCGCTGCCTCTGCTCGCCTCTGTGTGCCTTCATTCAAACCGCGTGGCTGCGCGCCCACTGCGCTGACTGAGACATCGCCTGGAGAAAATGCTGGGAAAGGGCGGAAGGGGGTGCACGGAATGTATCGGAGAGGACGGATCTGCGCGGTAGAACGGAAAGACAGGGAAGGGCAGCGAGTGGACACGAATGGGACACCTATGATGTAGACAATAAAACTGAGCTGCCTATCCCGCTTGCCGAAACTGGGAAAACTATCTTGACGACTGCCTGCCCCCCTCCCTGGAGGGAGGCCCCGAAGATACACCTGAAGCTGATGGCTGGCCGCCAAGACAGCCCCGAGACGGCTTCAACCCGGTCCAACAACGCTCAAGACGGCCCCTAGACGGGGGGGGGAGGGGGGGGCTCTCCCACCCCCAAAAGGAATATATATGTGCAATCGCTCGCCACAATGGATACTGCAGAAGGAGCACAACAAGTTTGCCAGCCTGGGCCCTAACAAATAAGTTCTAGCATTCTGGAAGAGTGTTATGGGCTTCGGTATAAAGAAGAACTTGTATTCGCCGAGTCCTGTGCTCGAGCAAGCATCCCCCCACCCCCTAATTACCTACAACTTCGTGGCAAACCCAACTGGTGCAATGACGCATGAGTACCTCGGGCGGGCGACTGGTGGTGGTAACGACGGCATCGGCAACGGCTGCGATGACGATGGTGGTGGCGATGATGTCGGAGGCGGCGACAACGACGATGACAACGGATGTGAAGATGACGGCGGCGATACTGATCAACATGCTGGTGATCATGGCGATGTCGATAATGACGCTGGCGATAAACATGATGGTGATGATGATACAGGATGATGCTGCTGTTGATGATGAGGATGACGAGGAAACGCATGCGTGCAGAGAACCTGACATCTCTATTGAACATATTTTGTTTATTGCTCAAATGTTTCACTCCTATATGCCAAGGGCTCGATAATCCGATAATCATGACCCTGCAATGAATACGACATGCGCGCGCGGGAACGCGCGCGTAGCCCGCAGGACTTTGTTGACATAATTGGTGCGTGCGCGATGACCGCTACATGACGCGCGATGACGGCCCCCATCACCACCCGCCCGATCGACTCGACCCTCTCCTCCCGGCCTCCTGCCTGCGATATCGCCCCCCTGGCAGTGCTGGGCCTCCGAACTCGCGCGGCGAGCGCGAGGGCGCGGACGGCTGGCCGACGGGAGCGAGGCGGAACGTTCACCCCTGGGGCGGCTGGGCCCGGCAGCGCCCTGAGCCACTCGTGTGCTGGAAAGAGCGGGGAGGGAAGGAGGGACCGACTGAGGAGGAACCGGGCACACCCCAAGAGGGATCGGGGATGGACAGAACCCCCCTTAGTAGAACGTGGTTTTGTGAAAACGACCTCGGGCCCAAACCTGGCGGGCGCAAGCCTGGAAAATGACGGCCGCGGCGCCCTCTCGAGAACCGAAAACGGACCATTCACTGATCGACGTGTCAGGTTGGGGGGTCTGTCCACCCCCGACACACCCCAACGTGGATGAGGCATCGGTGGATCTGGCGCGTTGGCGCCAGATCCTTGGGTCGGGGAAGGCACCCCCGTAGCACGAGGCAAATGCCGCCTGATCTGGCGACGGAGCGTGCCGGTTCCGTACCGAAGCGGGACGCGCTGCCGATCCACGCGCTGCTACTCCGGGCATGCGATCCCAGGAAGGAAGGAGGCAGCGGGGGGGGGGGGGGCAGGTCCTCCTCCCCTGGTCGGCGCTGGCACAGGGAGGGGCAGGACGAGATGCAGGAAGGAAGGAGGCTCAGGAGCGCGAAGCGGAGGAGGCCCGCAGGTAAGACGAGGCAAGGACGAGGACGACATCGGGTGAGGGTAACTCGGGAATCTCTGAGATCTGGCGGCTCCGCAGCAGGTCTCGGGTGCCGCGGCCTTCTTGGAGCGTTCCAAAACGATCTGAGAGCGTTCCCGGAACGCTTTGTAACGGACTTATCCTCGTCCCAGCCACGTCCGAATCTTTCAGGAACATGAGACCCTCCTCTGGCCCAAACGCCCCAACCATAAGATCACTAGAGGGTGCCCTCCCCCAGGATGCACAAGAGTAACCAACAAACACGAAGAACCCCAGGGTACCCTCCCCGAGCCGACCTCGATCTTATACCTCGGTCCGGCCGTACCTGGGCATACGGGAGGGGGGCGCATTCCTGGCTTTACTGACCTGCTTGTTTGGAACTCGACAGAGGCGTCCCCCCGACGCGCTGTCGAAATCATCAACATCATCAATACAATCATCATCATCACCATCATCACCATCACCACCATCATCACCACCATCACCACCACCATCATCATCATCATCATCATCATCATCACCACCACCACCACCACCACCACCACCACCACCACCACCACCACCACCACCACCACCACCACACACCACCACCACACCACCACCACCACCACCACCACCACCACCACCACCACCACCACCACCACCACCACCACCACCACCACCACCACCACCACCACACCACCACCACCACCACACCACCACATCACATCATCATCATCATCATCATCATCATCATCATCATCATCATCATCATCATCATCATCATCATCATCATCATCATCATCATCATCATCATCATCATCACCACCAACACCATCACCATCACCATCGCTATCACCAACATCCTCACACCCATCATCATCACCATCACCATCATCCTCATCGTCATCACTCTATCCTCCTCCTCCTCATCATCATCATTACCATCTTTACAATCATTACCATCATCACGTCAAATGTGTATTCACCGCTGCTCAAGCCGAACCTTGAAGCGATCCCGAACGCCAACCTCGGGTTAAACTCGAACGCCAACCTGCTTCACCATACACTCACACGGCCGCCCTCTCCGCCTCTCCCGGGATCTCCCGTGTAGGGGGGAGAACGTAGGAAGGAAACAGGACAGAGGAAAGGAGTCGGAAGAGGAGGAGGAGCAGGAGGAGACGGACGACGAAGAGGATGGGGAGGGATGAGGATGACGAGATAATGACATGACGGTACCGATGACGATGATGACGATGACGACGATGACGGCGACGACGATGATGCGGATGCGGATGCGGATGCTGATGCTGCTGCTGCGATGATACTGATGATGATGCTGATGATGATGCTGATGTTGATGATGATGCTGCTTATGATAATGATGATGGTGAGGAGGATGAGGATGAGGAGGATGAGAAGGAGGAACAGGAGGAGGAGCAGGAAGAGGAGGAGGTGGAGGATGGGGACAATGATGCGGACGAGCGATGAAACTGACGAAGGTTCTACAGGGTGAGGAGGGCGAAGCAGGAGGGGCAAAAGCCAACTGTCAACCTCCGAGGCGACAGACCGCCCTTTAGGCTCCCCTCCACCTTTCCGAACACGGGGGCTCTGACGCCTGAGCACCCCGGTCGCCGAGGGCCTGGCGAGGGAACGCTCACCCTTGAGGACAAGCGAGGTGCCCTCTCCATGAAGAGTAGGAGGAGGAGGAGGAGGAGGAGGAGGAGGAGGAGGAGGAGGAGGAGGAGGAGGAGGAGGAGGAGGAGGAGGAGGAGGAGGAGGAGGAGGAGGATCAGAGTCTGGCCTTCTCCTCCTCCGCTCCCCTCCGAACCCTGGACTCTAGCCCCCCTTCTCCTCGGGACGCGGGGGCGCCAGACGCCCCTCGCCAGTCCGGCGCAGAACAACCACTGCGCCACCCGCCGAGTCCTCCTGCCCTCTTCCCCTCGGCGCCTACAACGGCGCATGCGAGGGGCAACGACCGGGGTGGACTGGATCAATAGAGAGCAGAAAATCCACCCCCATAAGAAGCACCCCGACAAGCGAAGCCGTTTAGTAAACGCGCCCATGGAAGGAATCGACCAGGGCAGGGCTGTTTAGTAAACGCCCAGGGCTGTTTAGTAAACGCGAATTGTCGGGGTCGGGGTGGTTTTTCCGTCCTTGAATCAAGGGGGAGGAACATCGACCTGGAATCGGGATGCATCGCCGATGGATCGGCGATAGGCCTCCGAGAGCGAGACCGCAGGGTGCCTGGGTGGGGCGGGCCCTCGGGCCCCTGTCGGGGATCACAGTGGCCGCTTGGGGGTTCGATGCACCCCCCCCCCCGTTGAGCCCATCCTCTCCTGACGCTGCCTCTGGCCTGGCCAGGACATTGAGGCGACTCCGGTCGTGTCGACGAGGGACGCGCCCCGTCATCGGTATCAGCTCCTTCTCTGAGCGTGGGCGACCTCCTCCCGCGCGGGGTGGCGCGCCTGTCTTGCCCGCCGCCTCGTCCTGGGCGCGAGCTCGGAGCGTGCCGACAACGACGACGCTCCGTGGGGAGGGGTGGGGGGGGTGGCGGGAGCCCCTGAGACGACGCCAGGACAGGTACATGATCGGACGGGGATAATCCCAGAACTCACCGTATTTTTTGTTGAGGTCTTTCATGGACTTTCATCTTCAGAGTGGCGAGGCCTGTGAAGACTGCCTGCAAAGAGTGCAGAGGGAAAGATCGGGATTGCATGTCACGTGCACGCCTTTTTTTTTTGGTTCTCTCTCTCCCTCCCGAGCGCTCGGAAAGCCCGCACTTTGTCCCCGTTTCAGGGAAGGCCCCCGGCGTCCCGGCGCTGGCCGCCTCACGGCGGCCACTACAATATTTGAAGCCCTGGGGGCGGATGTCGGGAGAGGGCCAGCTGAGACAACGGCGGCCCTCTGGTCTGTCAAAATCGGTCCCCGGACCCCTCCCGGGCTCCAGCCTGGCCCGTGTCGGATCCGGCCGTGGTGACGAGGAGGCTGCCGCCGTCGTCTCGACTGGGCCTCCTCCGAGGACAGTGTTCCGCCCTCCGGGGGCACAAAGCCAGCTACGCGGCGCG